GCACAGTCCCCCCAGCACAGTCCCCCAGCCCAGTCCCCTCGGCACAGTCCCCTCAGCGGCGGCTGCTGTCCTGACTCTATCTGATCACTTCCTGGCTCTTCCTTTTTGTTTCTATTTAAACTCGCACGCCCACTGCAGCTTAGTTTTGCGTCTTTCTGGAAATGAAGTCGCACAGTCTGTGCTCTCCAGGGCCTGGCTGTCGTCATCGTTGTCCACGGTTGTGGAGCGAAGGTAGGGTGGGCACAGGCCGGAAGGCGTATCTTCCTGAGGACCGCGTAACAACTCCGACCCATCGTAGCCCTATAAAGTTACAGAGTTTAGGTTCTTGCTGGAGTTCTTTGAGGGACCTTGGCGTCATAACGAGGCAGATGAAGTACTTACTGAGAACCCTAGCAGCTGGGACCCAGCTTCCGAGGGACGATCCGCAGGCTGCGTCAGCCGCTCCGGGGGGGCACCTGTGCTGCTGCAGCTGTTGGCCAGCCCCGCCCAGAAGTGCCTCTCAGAGGCAGGAATTGCTGAAGCGTGTCAGGCTCATGCGGGGGTTTTCTAGAATTGACCTTAGAATTAAAGTAGGCATCTTTCTTATTGTATATTTGAACATTTGGCATTTTCTTTCTTTGTTGCCGGGAAGCCTCCATATGAATTTTATATATATGAACATTATGATTATTTAATACTATATCAACATATTCCAAGGTCTAACAGAGTGTTCCTGTGATGAAGGAAAGCTTTGTTTCAAGTAATAGCTCAATGTCATCTAAGCAAATAATTTGTGTTCACTGAATGATAAACTAGAAATTGTGGCCAGCCCAGCATAAAACATTCTCGCCACTATTCTAATGGTTGGAAGCTTGGTGTAGAAAGTATTCTTGTGACCAACTGACAGCATCGTGTATTCTCAGATACAATTAAGCCTTTTAAAAATTTTCATTTTCCCAGTTGTATTGGGATGTAATAGAACTGTGTAAGTTTAAGGTATACAGCACAATTATTTGACTTACATTTAAAAAAATANTGTGTAAGTTTAAGGTATACAGCACAATTATTTGACTTACATTTAAAAAAATAATGTTTTTATTGATTTCAGAGAGAGGAGGGGAGAGGGAGAGAGAGAAGCATCAATGATGAGAGAGTCATTGATCAGCTGCCTCCTGCACATCCCCCTTCTGGGGATCGAGCCCACAACCTGGGCATGTGCCCTGACCGGGAATCGAACCACAGTCTCCTGGGTCAATGCTCAACCACTGAGCCACACCAGCTAGGCTTGACTTACATTTATTGTGAAATGATTAAAATGATTACCACCCATAATAAGTTTAGTTAACATTCATTATCTGATACAGATACAAAAAAAGAAAAAAGAAACCTTGGCCTGTGTGGCTCAGGGGTTAGAGGGTTGACCCTCGTACCAAAGGGTCTCAGGTTTGATTCCCTGTCAAGGGCATGTACCTGGGTTGCGGATTGGCTCCCTGCCCCTGGTCGGGGCACATACGGGAGGCAACCAGTCAATGTGTCTCTCTCACATCGATGTTTCTCTCCCCCATCCCTTCCCCTCTCTCTGAAAAGCAATGGAAAAAATATCCTTGGGTGGGGGTTAACAAAACAAAAAAAGAGAAAGAAAGAAGATGCTTTTCCTTGTGATGAGAACCTCTAGGATTTACTCTCTCAACAACTTTCAAATACACCATACAGCAGTGTTAGCTATAGCCATGTTGTACGCTACATCCCTGGTACTTATTTATCTTATAACTGGAAGTTTGCACTTTTGACCACCTTCATCCAACTTCCTGCTCCCCCACCCCCCACTCCTGGTAACCAGAAATGTAATCTTTAGATCTCATTTTCTATGTGTGTTTTTGTTTAGATTCCACATATGAGATCAAACTTATGCCTGACTTATTTCACTATAGCATGATGCCTTAAAAGTTCATCCATGTTGCCAAAAAGGACAAGATTTTTTTTTTCATGGCTGCATAATATTCCATTGTGTGTGTATGTGTGTGTATTTATCACATCTTTACCCATTCATCCGTTGACAAACACTTGAGTGGTTTCCACGCCTTGGCCTTTGTAAGTAATGCTGCTGTGAACCTTGGAGTGCAGGTATCTCTTTGACATTGTGTTTTCATTTTCTTCGGATATATTCCCAGAAGTGGGATGGCTGGACCATGTGGTAGTTCTCTTTTTCATTTTTTGAGGAAGCTTCCATACTCTTCTATAGAGACTGTACCAACTTACAATCTCACAACAGTGCACAAGGGTTCCCTTTCATCTCCACCTCACCAGCATTTGCCGTCTCTTGTCTTTTCTATCACAGCTATTCTAACAGGCATTAGGTGATGCTTCATTGTGGGTTTGATTTGCGTTTTATGATTAGTGATGTCGAGCACCTTTTCATGTACCTGCTGACCACTCATATTACCTTCTTTGGGAAAATGTCTGTTCAGGTCCTTTGCCCATTTTAAAATTGAATTATTTGTGTGTGTGTGTGTGTTTGCTATTGAGTTGTATGAGTTCTTTATATATTTCAGATACTAACCCCTGATCAGATATATGTTTTGCAAACATTTTTTCTCCATTCCATAAGTTATGTTTTTATTTTGCTAATCATTCCCTGGCTGTGCAGAAGCATTTTAAGTTTGATGAAGTCCCACTTGTTTATTTGGGTTTTATTGCTTGTGCTTTTAGGTGTCACATCCAAAAAAATCATTGCCAAGGCCCACATCAAGGAGCTTTTTTCCCTGTGTTTTCTTTTAGGAGACTTACATTTAAGTCTTTAGTCCATTTTGAGTTAATTTTCGTGAGTGGTAGAAGATGGGGATCTAGTTTTATTACACAAAAACCTTTTGCCGGTGTTTCTATATGTATATTTTGGCTTTCTGTGCTTTTTAGATGTAATTTTGCTTATTTATCCCCATTGAATACTTTGTTCTCTCTCTTCCTGGTGTCATTATGTGTGTGTTTATATACTTTTTGTTCTTTCTCGCACAACTTCGCACACATCTGTCCCTTTGATGGCAATAGAGGCAATCAGTGCTGGGAATTCTGCTGCTACCGTCGACTTCAGGGTGCCCGTGATCCAGAGGGCATGAGGCTGCGCGGAGAGAGCTCAGCCTGTTCAGTGCGGATGGGCCTTTGCGTGGCTGCTTGGAGGACTGACGGACTGGGAGCCGTCCAGTAAGCAGATCACCAGAGGCCTGCCCAGGAGGAGGGACCGTCCTGTGAGGGCAGCTAGGACCGGATGTGGTGCCAGCGATAGAGCAACCCGTCCTTGATCACCCTGGAGCTGTTCACCCCACAGGACAATAAAGAGCCAGCTCTGTGAAACTGTGGGCGAGAGAAAGTCATGTTTTACAGTGACGAGGGCACATGTATTCTGAACAGGATCAGGATCAGAAATGAAGTAAATATTTAGGGCACCCAGAGGGAAGGAGATCCAGGAGCTGATGCTTGTGTCTGTGTATCCTGTGAGTGTGTGAGAGTGGATTCGCAGTCATTTGCTTATGGTAGTGATTATGAAATACACGCACTTATATACAGCAAACTTTATTTTCTAAAAATCCTACGTACGTGTTTTGGCTGATGTCAGGTTCTGTTTATTGACTGACTGTCTTTTCCCACCAAGAACATCTTGCCACTGATATCCATTATATTCTACATTCTTGTATTATATGGTCAATTAAAAATTCAGTTAAAGTCATAAGTAAAAAGGAAGATAATATGTACTCACCTGCCAGCTACTCATGATCTCAGAAATTATCCCAGTTTAGCTACCCACTGCCTCTTCTCTGTTAAGGCAGTATGACCCGCAGGAAATTTTAAATTACAGCATAGTCGCACTGTTTCTCGGGACTGTTACGGCAGTTATTATTGCTATTATTGCTTGGGGGGCGGGGCGCTCGGAAATTCAAATACATTTGTATATTTTTTCCAAGCAAAACATAATTTAATACAAATCTACTACCAAAATCACATATATTAAAGCAAAATAAAAATCATTTGGACATTTCCCATATTGTCTCTCCCTTCTATCGGTACTAATAGTTGAGAACTAACTGCACATGAAATGGGCCTCAGCCATTTGTCCAAAGCAACCACAGGCCGACATTAAAGACAGGTGGTGTTTTGCTTTCTGTTCACGAGAGAAAGCGAGTTTTCATGCGATGCGGCAGGCAGGTGGGCACACCCTGAGTGCTTCTCGATAGCCACGCGTGCGGGGCTCTTCATGTCTGCAGACATGACTGTGCATGGCTATTGTGCCCACTCCTCTTTCTTGGGCCTTAGACTTGGCATGTTTATAGTGCTTATGCCAAGTGTCATGCGCTTCACTCTTCCTTGAGTGGATGTGTATGAACAGCTATGGCTCTTCAGACTAGTATTGAGACAAAAAGTTTGAAATTGCATATCAAATGGTAAAGGCATTTATAACAGATTTCTTTTCACTGGGAAGGTGAGAACAGTCTACTGCATTTAAATATGCTGTCATCTCTATCAAAGTACTTTCTGAAAATGCATTTTAAGCATTTGTCCTTAAGGTTTCTCTTCTTTTGTGTGTTCCTGAGCACTGTTGAGGGTGTTTAGATGACTGGTATTTACACCAAGGACACTTTCAGTTAGTCTGTAGTGAATCGAATTTGATGACAAATGTATGTACTTCTGATATGCGTCCCATTCTATTTCCAAAGATGCCAGACTTTGTTACAAGTTTCAGAGAGAAAACCCCTGTATCTAGCTGTACGCACAGTGCTCTGGAGTGTATTTTACACCATTAAGATTCTTAATTCCTTCTCTCTTTTTTTGCTTACAAATAAGAAAAACTTATTGCTCACAGTTCTAGAGGTTAAAAGTCCAAAATCAGGGTGCCAGCAGGGTTGGGTGAGGGCCCTTTTCCAGGTTGCAGACTTTTAGTTGTATCCTCACATGGTGGAAGGGGTGAGTTAATTCCTTCTTTAGATCATATTTGTGGACTGAGAAAGCTCAGCATGGAGATAACGCTTTTCTGTCCCGGAGGCAGAAATGTGTCAAAAGTTGAAGGGAATTTAACCTTTTACGTTTACTGCTTCTAATCGTTGAAGCTCAGAAAATTCCAAACAGCACTTTTCAGTAGAACCTTCACTATATTAAACTCTCTTTTTTCCTTTGCAGACTCCCCACCCATGTGGCCTTTTCAAATATGCCTTTGAGACAGAGAGTTCTATGTGGAAGCTGAAATGCCTGGAAGATTTCTTGTTTCTGTCACTACTTTTCCTGCCTTTGTGCATCTCTGCCTGATTTCGATGATGTGACATTCAGAGGGACACCTTCATCCAAGTCTTTCTCCAACAAGACACATCGGGCCAAAGATTGCCCGTATAATTCAAGATGGCTAGTCAGCCGCCAGAAGACGCTGCAGAGTCTCAGGTCTCGGACGAGCTCGAGTGTAAGATCTGCTATAATCGATACAATCTGAAGCAGAGGAAACCCAAAGTGCTGGAGTGTTGTCACAGGGTTTGTGCCAAATGCCTCTATAAGATCATAGACTTCGGGGACTCCCCCCAAGGTGTCATCGTCTGTCCCTTCTGCAGGTTTGAGACATGCCTGCCAGATGATGAAGTCAGTAGCCTGCCCGATGACAACAACATCCTCGGGAACTTGACTTGTGGGGGCAAAGGCAAGAAGTGCCTGCCGGAAAACCCCACCGAGCTGCTGCTGACCCCCAAGAGGCTGGCCTCTCTCGTCAGTCCTTCTCACACTTCCTCCAACTGTCTGGTTATAACCATCATGGAGGTGCAGAGAGAGAGCTCTCCGTCCCTGAGCTCCACTCCCGTGGTGGAATTTTACAGGCCTACAAGCTTCGACTCTGTTACCACTGTGTCACACAACTGGACTGTGTGGAACTGTACCTCCCTGCTGTTTCAGACGTCCATCCGGGTGTTGGTTTGGTTGCTAGGTTTGCTCTACTTCAGCTCCTTACCCTTAGGGATCTACTTGCTGGTCTCTAAGAAGGTCACCCTTGGGGTCATCTTTGTTAGCCTTGTCCCTTCAAGCCTGGTTATTCTGATGGTGTATGGTTTTTGCCAGTGTGTGTGCCATGAATTTCTAGACTGTATGGCACCTTCTTAATCGATATGCAAACTAAGAAACTTGACACACATTGCCATGTTTCAAAGTTAGGCAATTTATCTTATATTTTACGTTCTCCGTGATTAGTGTTCATGACACGTTCTAAGCCGTTGGCCCTACGTCTGTGGTCCATTTTCCATCAGGTGTCGACGCAGTTGGTTTTCCTGTGTGCTGGATACAGGTGTCCATTTCTAGTTAGGTGTTAGCAGAGAAGCAAAAATGCGTAAGCTAAGACTTCATGGAGCTCTTTGCACCAGTCTTCCCAGAGAAAGGGCAGAATTTCCCTCAGCCCTGCTAGACAGACACTAAGGGGGGGGGG